TTCTTCACGGTATGTATTATGTGCGAATTCATTAACCAATTTATGCTTCATTCTCACCGACAAAAATTACGATACACATATGCAAACGATATTATGTCAGTGTGTTTACATTATAGAATGATTTGTTTGGAATACGTGAGTGTACCTGTACAATCAATAAATGGAGGTTCCTGAGAAGAACAAAAGGACGTACATAAAACGTCTGAATAGATCACAATATTGCAAATGTACAAATAGTTATTATGAAGATCAAGTTGGCAAGTGGCATGGGCATGGGAACAATGGAAAATAAAGGTTTGATGGAGTAAATTAGACGCCGTAAATATCAGACGGCAATGTTTACTTTTTGGCATTAGGTAGGCAGCTCCGCTCATTTCACATAAACAAAATCCAGTTTACCATGAAAATGATTCTACAGAGGAGCGATTAACCACTAGGTGTTCGAAAAATAAGACATCAAGGATGCGTGCAGGCGCGAAGCGGCTGCAAGTGCAGACCAATAGGACCATATGCCTCGTTCAGGACCTATACTAGTAAAGGGGCAGTATAAAAAGGAGAAGTTCTTAGACCCTTAAATACACTAAAAGTTGGAAATTACAGAAGTCATTCTCTCGGTCGGTCATACTAGACGTCTGTTGCGTCGGGCTGTCCATGAACACTGCTTTCTCGAGAGGTCTTTGTGTTCCATCGACGTACTGCTGCAGTTCCAATGGCGATAAGTAGGGCGACAGACAAAGCAGCAACAGATCCCATCAAAAGAAATGGCCACGCAAACGCCTTTGACGACAACGATCCCGTCTGCGAAGCCAACGATGCTTCAGAAACCTTGAAAAGACAGATGAAAAGCATGAATGAGGCAAAAAAGAGAAGTATCGGCAAAGAGCAAAGCGCAGCAGAAGCGAAATCTTCACTGTCGCGCGCTGAAAAAATTCCATGGCGAATGTAGGTACTGAGATTGGGTGAAAGGAAACAACTTTTACCTCGGGAATACAACGTTGTCCTTCCTGTACGTATCCCATAACACATCGCTCGCATCTTTCTCCTGTATAACCGGGTAAGCAGGAGCACTCGTTGTCCTAAAGTTGATGCAAAAATCGAAATAATTTTGATGAATACACGGGGATTAGAAGGAGCAGGCGTTAGTGTAAAACCCTTCATCGAGGAGCTCAAGTTAGACCCTGCCCTAGGCTAGGTGCCCATGTCGACTATCAAGCTCGGTGCGCCATTTCCGAGTTACCTGAGCTACTCAGCTCCTACTGAGCCTGTTAGAGAACGCTCTTTGGAAACACCCCCGCTGTCTAACCTTTTTCTCCGTTCTATTCTCACTATCTATAAATCACATCGCCATGGCCCCGCCTTTTGTCCCTCCTCCCACTTTTGTCTCCCACTGCTTCATTCTTTACTACACAAAAGCCTTACACACCATCAGTTGATGTATCACTTTTACCTACACCTAATCGCTGCCACTCGATCATTTTGTCGTGACACTCCTAATCGCTCTACAACATAAGAAGATGACGGCTGATATCGGGCATTGATGGATTCTACCGAACTAGGCCAGACACTTGCTCATCAATTGAACCTCCTAGACTCGATAGGGGCTTCTCGGGTGTTCTGACCCTGTCTGCTGAACATGCACATGGGGCTTGCGGGACTTCCCATCGTCAATACGATTTTCTGAAGAAGACTGGAGGGGCCCGAAAAACGTCCATGATAAATCGGCATTCTTGTGCAACCTCAGAGGTTGGAAGGAAGAGGGATTCAAAGAGTTTTAAACATGTTTCCCCTGGTTCCTCAGTCAGTTTAGAGGGTTTAGGACCTGATTTGGTCTTTGTTGTTGAATTTGGAGCATGACATGGGCGATAGGCCCTTGATCAAACCTATAGAGTTGCGAAACATATAATCACGGGTACCGGTGTATCAGGAACAACTATTTCATAGGCTACTGAGTGCTTCCCGAAGGGCAGAAGCCTCGCCACATGGGGAAATTATTAGCAGCCTGACCACGGACCCACCTGATTCACTTTTCCTCCGTTTTTGCAGACAAGTGGTACATCGCAGAATGGCCCAGTGAAACCGATATCGCAGAGACAGAAACCTTCCTGAACGAACAACAAGCTATTCATCTTTTAAATCCAATAAATCCCTATAAGGCTCTATCCATAGGCTATGATGGACACAATTTGATGTATTGAAGATTAGCGCTCACCATTCCGCCAGTGGGTATACCATTGTAGCAGGTGCGCATATGGCAGAACAGACCTGTCCATTTCGCATTACATTCACATTTACCATTGACTAGTTTGCCTGAAATGTCGATAACCCATTCAGAACCCTCGATAAAGCTAGTCCTGGACGATTAACTTTGTCATCAACGTCGAGAACAGTATGCGTAATTAATTCTAATTACCTTTTTCGGGCTCACAATATGTGACCTTTTCACAGCGTTCACCAGTCAAGCCAAATGGACAGTGGCATCGGACCTGAATAGAAATGGTTACCCAAAGCGTGCGGGAAGCAATGGCAACTGATAAAGGGAAACTAGTAAAAGTTACCTGCCCATTGACGGCATGTCGTCGACCTCCGTTCAGGCATCGCTCCTGCTCGCATTGTTTTCCTTCGTACCGCAAGGTGCACACACATTCGCCCTGAATCAAGACTGCGGAGTACGGTATCGATGGGGGGTTCTCGACAAATTGAGGTAGACGGCCCCAAAACTTCCTTTAGCTTGACTGTGACCCCTGCTTTGGTCTTTCCCACCTCATAGTGGTCGCCATTTTCTCTCTGTAGTACAGCGGCATGACACTTACTGTCAAGCGCTCTAATCCCATGCGTACAGGTTAATCCGACCAATCAAAAACGCTAATCCGCATTCGTGTTCACTTCTTTGATAGATTCCCAGGCGTATAGTACCTCTTGAATACTCATACGCCAGGTGCCCTGGTCAGCTCTTTCTGCTCTGCCCACATCACCAGATGTGACCGCACAGTTTAAAGTCTCCCGAATAGTGAAGGGTGTACGCCTGCTGGTGCAAATGTTTGGAATCGAGGCGATTAGTTAAAAGCACAAGGAAACTTCTGATTTATGCTGGGTGTTTACGGGTGGAACCTAATTTATCTGGTGGACGAACCTTATCGATCGGGTTGCCTTGGCGTTTTATGAAATCTAAAGGTCCCAAGTTGAACCTAAAGGAATAAACCGAATCCTGCTCCTCCTTGATCCCACTTGGTCCTGACAAAGGCCCGAAGCTAGAAAGAGCTCCCTTGATGAAAAGGGAGGGGCAAGGGGAGAATGAGAAAGCACTGTACCAGAGTCGCATGAGTACCCACAACAACAAAAAGAGGTTGCCTGCAGAATCCTTACCCTTCCAAAGCAGTTGGTAGATACTGGAGTTATCACAGTTTGCTTATAGACCTGCCGACGTCGAAACACGATTATGGACGAGTTGTCTACCAGCTATCTCCTATCGAGAACTAGTTGGTAAAGAAGCCAACATCATCGAATCCGGTAAATGTCACGAAAGGCTTTTAATGGAAAGGGAAAAAGCCTGTCTTCCCATAAATCAAGCATCGATTTCGAAATTTCATATCGTACCTTCACGAAAATTCGTTGCTAATTCAGTTCAAGATTACATGGTCCAGGGACCACACATCATTCTCTTAGGGTACCTCAGTGAACTAGGAAGGAAGCTCATATTCTCCCGGGAGCACTCAAAATGGAGCCAATTACGGAAGGATTCCCGTCAGATGTGATATTATTGAGCTAATTTACACGAAGCGGCTTCACTTTGGTTTATGACCACCTTTTTCCCTGCAAACCCTTTGCAGAGTCCTGCTGCTCAGTCTTCGGGTAACCCGTTAACAAAAGTAATTAAGTACTCACATTGACTAGTACTCCTCCATTTTTGCAGTAATCAGGCGGTAACGGTAAGTCTTTGAGCCGCTCTTCAGCAAATGATGATACAACGAGCAGCGAAATTATGTAGAAAATACCAATCATCTGAACGAATCCATTTTTCAAAACAAAAAAAAAACGATGGTAATATTCGAGGCGAGAGGCGTTATTCATAGGATATTCTAGATGATAGCTGTAGATGAACAAGAGGAATCAAGCCGAGAATTGCTGTGCGAGGGGCTACTACGGCTACCCACCCGTAGGTTCTTGAGGTATGTAGTAGCTGGTCAGACTGACAGACGTAGTAATTGAATCAGCCTAACCAAAGGGATTAGGATTTGCGCATGAAGTCACCTACATCATCGACATCTAGCAAAAGTATACGACGAGAGCTTTTGGAGAGCTTCACGCAAACTTTTGAAGACATCATAAAGTACTCTTGAACGCCCATCCACTTTATGGGAGGCACACTATGCATTGAAAACTCGATTTGAGTTTTTTATTGGTCTCTCCCGACGAAAAAACTCGGTCGAGCTTTCATCAAAAGCAGCCGGGATTGGGCTCAACAAAAAAATTTATAAGGGAAGTGGAAGATATTATGCTTCTGTGCCACACAGGTTTTTTAATGGTGGAGTTGCAACTGGGCCTAAGTCAAGCGTGATAAGTAACACCCTGAAGTTTCGATACGCTTTCAGGCCTTTGAAAACGACGATGTTGTCGAAACGTCAGGCGAATAAACATTCCACCATTAAAAAACCTGTGTGGCACAGAAGCATTGAATAATATCAGTACCGATGCCCAGGTTTCAAGAGAGGCGAACATGGAAGTGGAAGACTCAAGGGTAAGGAGATTTTGAATTCCAGTTGGCTTTAAAGAAACAAGGGCAAAGACTGAGCCCCTGCATGTAGCAGCTAGTCATCACACGCATGATCCAGGGGTGGAATCTTACTAGAGCTAGCCAATCCTTCCTGAATTGTCTAACTCCAGCGAGCTTAAGATATTTTGGGTTTAAGGACTTCAAGGTTATTGAATTGATGCCCGGAGATTGAAAGTTTGGACAGGGTCTCAACCCTGAAAATCCTGTTGACCAAATGCGAAATCAATTTAAGTGGGAATGCGGAGCAAAGTCAAATGCACGGCGTAACCCATACGAATTCTATAGACGACGAGCATCATGTCTGATTCTACTAGCAGAAGTGAGAAGACAAGAAAATGAAATGTGGCGATGCTGTAAAGCCGAACGATCCTCTAAAAGCGAACAGAAGTCGAAGACATGGCGCAGTAATGTCAGAGAACTGAGTAGTCGTATCATTGGCAGCAATTTTAGCCAATGAATAGAACTCTGGAGGCCATAGCCTGACCAGTGAGTACCCTCACGCCTACAATACTTACCCCGCCCCCTAATTAGCTGGTCCGAAAATGCCGGCTGCACATCATCGGCGACCTCGTAGATATTCTACACATGTGGCTTCAAGGGTTACAGTGAGCCCCTTCCCCTAAGAACGAGTACTTCTGAGAAGTTTTCGGTTCATTTTTCCAGAGAATTTGAACGGAAAAATAGGGTCAGGGTCCCAATTTGACTGTGATAATTACTGGCACAATGCGGTGATTTATTACCGATTTGGCTAGGTGGAAGGTCTTATCGACATCATAAATCTTCTCAGCAATAAACGTGTACACCACTGTAGCCTTCTCATCATTATCGGTCACCGGCCAGTATCTGACCAAAGCCACTGGCCACCAGAAATGATCAGAGTGATATGGTGGAAACCTTCGCTCCACTAGTTGTGGGCGCTTCTTTCCTTCATAATGCCAAAAAACCAGGGATTGGTGGCAGGGAGGACAGAAGTTGGTCCTGCGAGAGATTTCTCTCGTACTGGTACATCTCAGTCTTGATTCAGGGCATTGCCGCTGAAGAATGGAAAACACGAGAGGTTACACCTTCTGAGACAAAATTTCGGCTAGCCAGTCGATTGAGGTCCTCAGTTTTATTGGAGGCATGAGACCGTGAAAGTCCATACTTTTCAGTAGTGGTGGCTTTTGAAGAGAAGATACTTCCTTCATTTGGGATTTCTAGATGTTGTTCTAAGATTCTACTAGTGCCCAATGGAAAAAAGCGATTGCCATTGAGATAAGTCAATCGAAGTTCCCATCTCGAACTCCTCTGGCTAAGAAGAAACTCAGGGAGCTGTGAAAACGGAAAAGACTGGAAAAATAAGAGGGTCTGAAGAAAGGCCGAGAAGAGGGTGAGCTCCTTCCACACATTCCAGGTCTTTTTTGAGAATTCGGCAATTTAGGATCGGCTATATCGTCTCGACCTCGAGCATATGGCGACCACGGTGTCTTGAAAAGCTCTGATGGTAGTTACAGTAATGTAATTGGCCAGACCAGGGCACAGATGTACACACACTGTATTGTTGTTGATGTAGTTAGTGGACGGAAAGAATTTGTCCATACGACAACATGGTATGGTAAATTAGGATAGTTATTTTCATGGTACTGGTACTGCCTTAGGTTCGGCGGTGGAGTTAGAATTTTTTCGACTGCTTTCAGATTCAGCCAGTGAGTCACGCTCTTTCGGGAACTGATTCTCATCCCAACGATCGACCCTCGAAAATAGTTTCCTCTCTAACTTGAGTTCCCGATCTAAGTGAGAAAACTCACAGAATCTGAATGCTCCCACTTCAGAAATTTTCATTGTCCTGATGAAATTCGTCTCCGAGGCACTCAAAGAAGCAACTGTAGCTGGAAATGCTACGACTATTAGCCGTTCTCCCGCATCAAAAGGAACGAAGACGGAATTTCTCTGCACTACTAAGCTATCCAATTACGCAGCTGGTTGTTCTGGTGGCGGTAAGATGGACGAGATTGTTACACTAAGGAGGAACATCCCATCTATCATCAACATAACCTTTCAGCTACACATCGAGACATCCTGCACAACAATCTCTCACCTGCCGGCCTTACCATTACAATAAATGAACGGCACCAACCTGAGTGGGCAGTGGTTCCAGTAAGCGACAACTATCGCACACCAAGTGACATGATCTCCGCTAACAATCGAGTACGAAAGAACCAGTCTCAAGTCCTATTTGAAGCAGGAAGGCATCTATGCCATACCCTAAATCTTCATTTGCGCTGTTATAGAAACACATTTTTCTGACATATGTACTGGCAAATAAATAAACAACTAGGGTAATAAATAAAGGACACAACACTTCCACTCTTTGCAGTGGAATCTGATTGTCAGCCTAGCAGCCAAATCTTACGCTCTAGGTTGTTGGCTTGAATAATTTGGCAATTTCTTGGCCAGCCCTAATTAAACAGCTAAATACTTAACAGTAATAGGACTCAGAGTAAGTGGCCGTAAAGCTGAAGCTGGTTTCTATCCTGCAATAGCTACGCTGTATAAGTAGATTGTCCAATATAATGGTCAAGCCGCGGATTGCATCATAGGGCCCAAGTCCATGCAGCTGGGTCTCGCCGCTCTCGCCCTTGGTGACAGACGGGCCCATTCGTGCCGTCCTTATGAACCCTTTGGGAGGGACGTCCGTTACGCCTGAATGTTTCATGGAATAGTCACTGCGTCTCCACATCATGTATCGTCTATCCACATGACGAGATGAATACAGTAGACGTGTGCCGGGACAATTGCCGGCACCTCAAAGACCACCACACCGATATTACCACATTAATAATGGAGAGTTATGATAGCCTTCAAGAAATATAAGACACCCGGCGGAACTGTCTCATCTTGTCGCCAAAGAAACGACCGGCGAAGAGCCATTGACGAGCGCATCCATGACAATGAGAACAAAAACCTACTCTTCAACAGGCGAGGTCGTATTGGTAGACGATGGATCTTGGAGATCCTCTTCACAAGTTCCTCTCCATTTATTTCCTTTGTCTTCGGTTCCAACTAGTATTTGAGTTCTGGAACATTCGAACAGTGGGACAGGTGCGCAGTTCCGGAACACGTGC